AGAGGGAAGCAGGAAAATTGGCATCAGAGCAGCTGAGGCTGTAGTCAGAGAGACTGGAAGATCCTACGTCACTGGCTCTGAACAGAGAGAAAGGTGCCCCAAGCCAAGGCATGCAGGTGGCCTCTCGCCACTGGTAAAAGCAAGGAAACAGCTGTTCCCCGAGAGCCTTCATAAAGGAACACAGCTCTGCCGACACCTTGATTTTAGCCAACATGGACCCATTTTGGACATCGGACCTGCAGAACTGTGAGATCATCCATTTGTGTTGTGTTGAGCCACCAAATTGGTGGTGATTTCTTCCAGCAGCCGTAGGCAATGAAAACACCAGTTCTGTGCCCTTGGGGACATGGATCCACCGGCTCTGCCACACATTCCAGACGTGTTAAGATGTGAGTATTTCACGGGATTATGATCCCCAGCCTGAGAGACAGGAGACCACTGACCATAGCCATTTTCATCATTGCTATTATTTTATTACTGGCATAGCTCTTACTGTTTAGTTGGGAAAACGAGCTTTGCACGTATGAGGCAATTCGAAAATAACTAAATAGAGCATGAAAGGGGTATCAGGAGGGGCTGGAGGGGTGAGCTGGGAGTGGGTCACAATGTCAACAGAAGATGTTCCCCAGGGTCTCTCACTAACGGTCCTTGGGGAAGGGAGACAGCAGCACGGTGGCCTTGGGCTCAAAGAGGCCAGAGATGCTGGATCCCTCCAGCAGGGAACCCACGGATGGATGGAAAAACAGACACGCTGCTTCCCCTGGAGTAGTTCCCCATGACTTTATAACAAGCTGTGCATAACTCTGACTGCAGCCCAACAAAAAGCACAGAGGATGCCTCTTCCCTGGGAACACGGGCCCTGAGGCAACAGATTTTGAGCTGGTTTGTGAAGGAGAAATAGGGTTAGTAGAGGACAGGGGATTGCAAGGGAGATACAGAAAAAACAGGTGAAGGAGTGTGGACTCTTTCTGAAAATGTCTGAACAGAGAAAAGAGCATGGTCGAAATTTAAAATTTGGTCGAGTAATTGTCAAATTCACGCATTTAACATCCCGGTGGCACTCGGCCGTGATAGGAAGTCACAGACAGATGATGGTTGAGTTAATCTCTCCAGGACGGTGCAGAGAAAATTCTTCCTCCATTCACTCCGAGACTCTTGTTAGGAACAGCTGTCTCTAAACCACACTTCTATTTATTATTTTTTTATTGCCACGCTTCTATTTTTGTCTTTGCACATGTTGCCACCCGGCAGGTCAAATGCCTTCGAATGGCAAGAGCATATGCCTGTCATTCTTTTGCTTGATGTGGGCACAGAGTTTTATGCAATACTCTGTTTGTCATTTTTTTGTCCTCTTGGGCATCTCCCCGCCCGATAACACTGGTTCCCTGGATTGATGGGAATCACAAGGAAGCACGTGACGAATCTAATTCACACTAAAGTCTTTCTCAGCCAAGATGCTATAGTATACACCCTCCTCGATGTATTCAGTCCAGGGACTAAAACCCCACCAATTATAGATGGGAGATGTGACAAAACCGCCCAGGTTCTATCAAACTATCATCCACCTGTTATCGGGGCAAAAATAAACAGCAGCCATCTGCTCATGTCACTGCTTGAAGGGGAGGTAAAGAACTGAAGAACACCCTTAAGTTAACTGACCCGGTTTCAGAAGCTAAAGGTGACTATTTAAGCAAGACATCAAATGGCTAAATCATCTGAGCCAGGGGGTGGCACGTGTTTCCTTTGAAAAGCCAGGGAGTAACGATTTTAGGTGGTTTCGGTGGCTTGCCCAACTCCTCAGAAGCAGGAGGGCCAGACACCAACAAATCAACATGGCTGTGTTTCAGGAAAACTTGATCTACAAAATCAGGCATCAGGCTGGATCTGGCCCAAATGCCATAGTTTACTGAGCCCTGCTCTTTTTCTTTTTCTTTTTTTTTTTTTTATTAGAGTATAGTTGATTTACAATGCTGTGTTAGTTTCTGCTGTACAGCAAAGCGAATCTGTTATATATACATATACATATATCCACTCTTTTTTAAGATTCTTTTCCCCCATAGGTCATTACAGAGTATTGAGTAGAGTTCCCTGTGCTATACAGTAGGTCCTTATTAGTTATCTATTTTATATATAGTAGTGTGTATGTGTCAATCCCAATCTCCCAATTTATCCCCTGCCCTTACCCCCTGGTAACCGTAAGTTTCTTTCCTACATCTGTGACTCTATTTCTGTTATGTAGGTAAGTTCACTTGTAGCCCTCTTTTTACATTTTTTGATTGATAGATTCCACATATAGAGCCCTTCTCTTAAAGTTACTGAATTTAGATTTGGGGAGTAGGGCGCGTGCATCAGCCCTGACCATACTCCGCAATATTAACTCCTTCAGTGTTATTAGGGGGGAAATGTCACCGCAACTTCCACTGATGATTTATTTTTTCACTTAATTGGACTCCTTCATATCTTCTGCAAGAACGAAAAACTAAAGAATCTCTCCTTCAGCCTGAAATGTAGAGCAACCACATCCTAGCTCTGGCCCACCCTTCCTATACCATTCCTTAGTTGAGCTGAGTCTCACCTAAGTGCCCCAGCAAACAACTCATCCTATCCCTCCTTCTGCAAAGTTCTCTTGCTGTTTTCTCTGCCAGGATTTTCCCCAACCCCCAAACACTTCTATAAACCCTCGA